TATATATATATATATATATATATGCACATAAAATTATGTGAAGTACAATTAAACAACAAAGCCGTACAAAGCCACTAATGTTTATATCTCAAATATACTCACAAGAACAAATCCAATCCATGTGGAATTATTTGCTCGGCTTCTCATCCCTTGCTCATTAAGCTGGCAATGCAGGACTCAGACTTATGATGCTCGGGTAAAGCCTTCCACCATATGGCAAAAGTGGAGTTATGAAATAAAACATCTTTACCTAATTTATCATTAGTCATCCACCTTAGTACTTTCCTTTCCAGTTCTAAAACCTTATCTCTAACATCTTCATATGGTCTGTTGTTATTGGCATCAGTACAAAGATCCTCAACCATTGCCCAGAAACAACTTTCCGAACTCGACCCTGTAGCCATTCGGCGGGATTGCTCATACCATCTTTGTACACATCTGTAGCGCTTTGGCCGTCCATTTGCTATATAGGGTCCTGTGTCTTCATTCTTTGAGTGCCTGTAGTAATTGGCAATATCTAAAGGCTCAACAATCTGTCTATAGGTGGTTCCTAACCTCACCCACTCAGCACGACTCTCAAAACTATCGGGAAGGTCATACCGCCTCAGCATCTCAAGAATCTCATCCCAAAGACCAGCAAGTTCCAGTCTTTTGACATTAGCATTGAAGTCCTCAGGATCTTGTTGAAGTTTGAAGGTGTCATAATAGCCTAAGCCACGTATTTCACATGTCACACGATAGTCATTCAGGCATCTTAGTGCTTCTTGAATCTTGCAATATTTGGCATCAAAATTTTCCTGGTTCTTTTGTTTTTGCTTCTCTAATTCTCCTGCTGCACGAAGACGCAACCTAGCTTCAACATTCTGAAAGGCATATATAAACTGACTTTTATTAAAGCTCAGGGACAAACAAAAGGATTCTAATTTTGCTAAATCATAACTGCAAACAGATCCATTATGCATGCGGATCTTTGACAGAAAATAAAGTTTTAAGATACAACTGTCTCGCTAAATTATATTCTGAAATTATTCTAGAATAACATTGGGTACAAATTGAAAATGATGGCATATAACGGTTGGAAATAAGAAAAAAATGTTCGAATAGAAAATCAGGAATTGTTAAAGCTATTATATGTGGCATGCTAAAAATCTTTTCACATCATCTTGCAAAGAACCTTTAGTTTACCTCTTAACCTGCTTTTGAAACCTGTCCTTCCAAGGTTCTTTACATTAATTCTATTTTCAAACTTCATAGTGTTATGCCGGTCCAGCTTGGACCGGCTCAACCTGGACCGGCCCAGCCGGTCAAGTTCTACAGGAGGCGGACACAGGGCCGGGCGGAAGA